TGGCTAACGATTTATTATTTCCTGAGTAGATATTAGAAATTTGTGTTAGGACTATTAATCTCTTGTACGAGGTCGATAGCTAGTGAGATTCATACGTATTATTGAATTGATCTTGCATCTCATTGTGTCAGCGTCAGCTTGTTATCACTGTGCCGCCATTATTTGTGATCTGAGGTGTTATCTAGCATTATGTTCATATATCATCAATATAAAGGAAAATTCTGATCATGATTGTGCTGCATGTGAATCTTATGGCCTGATTTGTTATGGGATTGATAATGAGCACGTTTCTTGAAGAGTAATAACATCATCTTGAATCTGATTGGCTGACGTCTCAGACGTCTTAGAAGTTATATGTGTGATCTCAGTTCGATTACATTTGACGTTGACCCTACAAACTTTATGACATTGAACTGTTTAAAAAAGAGTGAGAGCTTATATACGTCTAATTGACTGGGCTTCTCCTTCCTCTTCCAGTCGTATTTTAAAATTTTTGGTTTTATTTACATAAAAATCTTAGCTGACTTTTAGTATGAGAGAAAGTATGCACATAGTTGTCATGCCTTCATCTTTCAAAATATGTTTAATCATATATTGTAAAATAGACCACATGAGCATGACCTAATGTAATCGAGGATTAATGTTCTGAACACTTGCTCGATGGTATTGTAAATGTATGCAGATCAACATATATACCTGGACCAACTTGAATTTAGAATTTAAGTATTTGTCTCCGTAAAATTGATAACAAACTACCAACAATTATGATGACCACGTATCTTATACATGTCTGCTCACTGTTCCTATTCCTGGCATCATGTAATAGAAAGGATTTGCATATTTATGTTTCATTTGAAAGCCAGAATACACTGTTTAGTTGACGTATAATATCAAAGAGACTTTCGGGTCAGCGTGGTTCTGAATGACAAATATAATGTATTTTTGAAGCTGTTAATATACATACATACATGCACACACGCACAGATATATATATATATATATATATATATATATATATATATATATATATATATATATATATATATATATGTATGTGTGTGTATTAATATGCAGAGTTTGATTTCGTTTAGACCATCTTTATGTTTTGTTGCATTATTCTAGACTTTTAACATTATAGCGTTCGGGTAAAGGTTTTCACTTACAAATTTTCCTCTGGATGGTCAATATTTTTCTTTCGAAATGGCCAGTGGACACAAGTTTTCAAGTCTCATTACGATTGTATTGCTTTAACCTCGTGGTCGCATCGTATAACTTTTTTGATGTTAAATAATCACTCAACTGAGCCATACTTGGCTCATTAAAACATTTTAAGACATTAGGAACATTGACCTGCCGAAATGTTTACAAGGCTCAGCAACTGATACAGATTACTAATATTGTTGCAATTTATTTGTTAGGGACTCCGAAAATATCCGGGTTGATGCAAGGTACATACATTAAAAGGTTTCACCTTTCTTACCTATTCTGTGGAAAGTATTCATCAAGACAATGAATGTATCAACATAGTTGTCAGTCGGCTGGACACTTATAGTGTGAATGAAATGTGGATAGGATTGTTTGCCTTCCGAACATTTTTATTATTCTAGAAATATGAGATTTATAGAAATGATTAGTTTCTAACAAAAAGCAAATAACTAAACTTTATTCTGGCATAATCTATACTTAATTTAAGCAACAATTATCAAACACCTGTTGTGTTAAACATCTAAATACTATGGTAAATATTCGCACATTGATTATTTGATAACTACGCCTATGTTATATTTGGTGTAAGAATTATTTTCTGAGACGAAATGTTACAAATTAATGACAATTGATTTATGTAATGTTTTTCTGTGCACTTATAATATACGTCCGTAGTATGTAAGTTAGTGAACACTCGAGGCTTGGTAGCATCAAGAATTAGATCCGAAGTCGTTTGAGCGAATATTAAGAGAATATGTTTATGGATTTGAAGAGTTTGTGTAACATAATTCAAATTACTTGTTAAAATATATTTCCTCAACCTAACATGATTCCATTTACGTGCATTACCATTGTATATCAAACTAAATTTTATCTAACATTTTATTGTACAAATATTGTAAAATATACCACATGAGCATGACCTAATGTAATCGAGGATTAATGTTCTGAACACTTGCTCGATGGTATTGTAAATGTATGCAGATCAACATATATACCTGGACCAACTTGAATTTAGAATTTAAGTATTTGTCTCCGTTAAATTAATAACAAACTACCAACAATTATGATGACCACGTATCTTATACATGTCTGCTCACTGTTCCTATTCTTGGTATCATGTAATAGAAAGGATTTGCATATTTATGTTTCATTTGAAAGCCAGAATACACGGTTTAGTTGACGTATAATATTAAAGAGACATTCGGGTCGGCGTAGTGCTGAATGACAAATATAATGTATTTTTGAAGCTGTAAACATACATACATACATACCTACATACATACATACATACATACATACATACATACATACATACATACATACATACATACATACATACATACATACATACATACATACATACATACACATGTGTATATAAGTATATAAATATATATATATATATATATATGCAGAGTGTGTGTGTGCATATATATATATATATATGCAGAGTTTGATTCCGATTTGACCATTTTTATGTTTTGTTGCATTATTCCAGACTTTTAACATTATAGCGTTCGGGTAATGGTTTTCACTTACAAATTTTCTGGATGGTCAATATTTTTCTTTCGAAATGGCCAGTGGACACAGGTTTTCAAGTCTCATTACGATTGTAAACCTTTAACCTCTTGGTCGCATAGTATAACTTTCTTGATGTTAAAGAATCACTCAACTGAGCCATACTTGGCTCATTAAAACATTTTAAGACCTGAGGACCATTGACCTGCCGAAATGGTTACAAGGCTCAGCAACCGATACTGATTACTAATATTGTTGCAATTTATTTGTTAGGGACTCCGAAAATATCCGGGTTGATGCAAGGTACATACAATAGGGGGTTTCACTCTTTCTTACCTATTCTGTTTAAAGTATTCTGGTTTCGACTTATAATGCAAGGTTACAAGACACAGAACCTAGAAAAAATTAGTAATCTTGTTCTTTGTCTTTATTTCAGACACCGATTATATCCGGGGTCATGAATGAGCCGTAAAATAAAAAATCTCACTTTCTTACCTGTTTTGTGAAACATATTTATCAATGCATTGGTTACATTAACATAAATGGGGCCCCGAGTGGCCGACTGGTCTAAAGCGCTGTCCGTTACGCATCACTGCCATCTCACCTCTGTCTGCGTGAGTTCGAGTCCAGACTCGGCTAACGTGGGTAAGTGAGAAAGCCTGCCAGTAGCTTCTCGTGGGTCGGTGGTTCTTCCCGGGGTTTTCCAGGGTTCTTCCTCCACCATTAAAACTGGCCGCCATGTATAGCCTATCTTGTGCTGGAAAATGGCGTAAAACCCAACAACAACAACAACAACATTAACATAAACATCAACAGGTTGAACAATATGAATCATATTATTATGAATCGGAAATGTTTAAAGTTTATCTATTTGTTTTCTTCGAACTAATAAATTATTCTACAGTGTGATATTCTTAGCAATGATTGTTTCTAAAATAAAACACATAACTGAATATAAATTATATTCTGGCATAAACTATACGCGTCCATCTAAATAAAAAATATAATAAAAATACGTTGTTGTTTGAATTGAAGATTTTATCAAATTCTTCAATGGATTGGTCAAATGGTGACAATAATTTTCACCAGCTTAGATTTTGTAATATTGTAACAGAAAATATAATAACACCTAGAACCGACACGTAGTGTCTGATTGCCAGAGCATATTGTATCTCTTTGATATTGAACAAAGTTCAATATTTACAGTTTTATAGGTTAGCAAGATATTCCACAGAGATATGAAATTCACTGAGTTGAATATACTTTGAAATTAACAAAAAATGTTTATGAATTTGATTAAAATAGTGTTCCATTGAACCCTAGATACCCTATGTTGGAATTTCCTGTTACAATAGAAAACAGAAGAATGGCGCTTGGTTATTTGAAGGACATGATCACATAGATATATTTAATAAAATTGTCGTAGGTGGCCTACTTTAGTGTCTAAATACAATTATGTAAATGTAGATCTGTTCAACACCATAACTACGAATGTATCATGGGCTATTAAGTTTCGTATGAAGCGGTATTTTGTTTAAAAATTTTAGGCCACTGGAGTGGTACATATATACAGCATATATAGCCTCACTTTCGCTGAAAAATGGCATTAAACCCCCGAAACAACATAAAGTTATTTTATACCTTTATCTGTATGATATCTACAGCAATTCGGTTTTTCCCGCAGGAAATAAATTAAAATGACATACCATTTTTGCACTGATGATTTCGTTCAACACAGGCAAACATAAGCGTCCATGTTTTAGTATTCATACTCACTTCATGTATTTTAACTGTATTTGAAGCAGTATCGAAAGATGTGTGTGATATAAAACATGCAAGTTCGAAGACACGTGCGCAGATACCCATGGATTGATAAGCAGTATCACGTGATCTCCATTTCGTTTTACTACACAAACACCATGGCTTTGTGGAAGCATGCCTTTTTTATTTGTTTTGATTTTCAACATAAACAAAATCTTATTTATAGTCGTAATGTTTCAATTTACAGTCTGTGTGTGTGTGTTTATGTGTGTGTAAGTGTGATTTATATTTTTAACGCAGCTTTAATAATTGGTTAGTCATATCGCTAAGATATATGCAGTGTAACATTTTAGAGTGATGTCTAGCACTGGGGCTTCATGCCGCAGACATATGGCATGATGTCCCACCCAGTCAAATTATCCTGACACCAGGCCGACCAGTCCTATCACTAACCTTTTCATGCTAAGCGCCTAGCTAGGCAGCTGTTAGTACCATTTTTAAAGACTTTGGTATGACTCAGTCGGGATCCGAACTCGTGACCTCCCGCATCCGAGGCGGACGCTCTAATCACTAGGCCAAAAGAGCGGTCTTCAATTTACGGTGCACAGTTTGCAAAGAAGTCTTTTGCTGTTTAATGATAAATTGAAGAAGAAGAAGAAGAAGAAGAAGAAGAAGAAGAAGAAGAAGAAGAAGAAGAAGAAGAAGAAGAAGAAGAAGAAGAAGAAGAAGAAGAAGAAGAAGAAGAAGAAGAAGAACAACAACAACAACAACAACAACAACAACAAGAACAAGAAAGAAGAGGAAGAATTTGCAAATATTCAACATATCAAAGTTTTCAACTTCAAAATTACATGCTTATGTTCCAGGTTGCATATCTTATCGTCTGATAAAGAAGTTGGAATATTAACACAGACCAAACGCAGAGTTGTGTCGAGCTAATAGAATGCATAATGTAATGAGCAATGTATACACAATCAGATTAAAGAGAAAAGTCTGATATCATTTTTATATTAAAAAATTAAAACAAATCCCTGGGTATTCTTGATGTATAATTAGTTTGTAAAGACTTTTTGGTGCTTTCACATTTGATTGATACCGTTGATTTCCCAGCGTAGTTCTGCAAGGTTGATGAATTGCATACCAAACGTATCTAAGGTTCATCCCGATTACAAAATTTTGAGTCTTTTTTATGACTTTCAGGTCAGAAACACAGATTTCACATACTATATTAAATACAAAGTCTCTTTGGAACTATTACTGTAGTAAACTTCATCTACATGTTTTCTCTAAATTTGTTTTAATAAATATTTACAATTACCGTACAAAGTCGATAAAGAGGCGAAATAAGATCAGATTTCCGTGTGATTTTTTTAAAAATATTTCTCTCCAGAGGGAAATGACTTTAGAAAAAAAAAGTAACATTTCAGCCGGCACATAGAGAATAAAAAACTGTAGGAAGCTCTGTAGTATGACGGCCTCTATAACTCTGAGGACATACATACATACATACATACATACATACATACATGCATGCATGCATGCATGCATGCATGCATGCATGCATACATGCATACATACATACATACATACATACATACATACATACATACATACATACATACATACATACATACATACATACATACATACATACTGTTACAAATATGTAAGTAAACTGCTTATGTGTTAGTTTTAAAATTCTTTTTTTTTAAATTTATTTGTGTTTTATTACATTGTAAAGACTTTTCACGGGATTCGATATCTTTTATAAAGTATATTCTGTTTGCACAGAACTTAAAAGTATTTCATTAACATTATTTTAGTTGACCTTTTACAGACACGTTGTAACATGGAGTTAATGTTATTGGTCAGTATCAAGGTGATCCATTCCTCAACGGTGTGATCACCACGTGTTTATCAACATTTTTGTATTCTGGAATAAGACTGTCCGGACGCACCTATCAAGTGCTTTGTAGTAAGTGTTGTAGCACGTGTCAAGTGCTTTGTAGTAAGTGTTGTAGCACGTATCAAGTGCTTTGTAGTAAGTGTTGTAGCACGTGTCAAGTGCTTTGTAGTAAGTGTTGTAGCACGTGTCAAGTGCTTTGTAGTAAGTGTTGTAGCACGTGTCAAGTGCTTTGTAGTAAATACTTTGTAGTAATCATGTCACCTATCATAAGTGTCGAAATGGCATTTTAAAGATATTTTATACCCAATATCACTGTTTTCTAGTAGGAGTCGTAAAAGTTCTTTCCAGAAATCAGAAGTATTTTCTGTTGTGCAAAGTTGGAGTTATTTGTCATTTAAGACTAATTTATATTCTCTGGAAAATAAGTGTTTCTACGTCAAAGCTTCGGAGAGAGACATTCTAAAGCTGGAATATTCTTTTTTTATTCATAAAATTCGACTTGAAACATTTGACATTTTTTTGTGATTCATAAAATTCAACGTGGAATGTATGACATCAATACTTTCATTCGTCTGACGTCATCGTCCGCCATGTTTCAACTTCGCCGGGATTCGAACATGGATTCAATTAAATCTGTTTAGTGATTGAACTTGTGTGTTTCAATTCTGGGATTAATTTTTAGATTATATTCACAAAAAGTGAGCCGTTTTTTTTCATATTTTTACAGTGCTTTGTAGCGAAATAAATTAAATTTACAAAGCTTGCTGGCCTCACTCTTTGTTGCTTTGAACGAACTGAGATTTGTAACAATGCATACATACATATATACATACATACATACATGCATGCATGCATGCATCCATGCATGCATACATGCATGCATGCATGCATGCATGCATGCATCCATCCATCCATCCATCCATCCATCCATCCATCCATCCATCCATCCATCCATACATACATACATACATACATACATACATACATACATACATACATACATACATACATACATACATACATACATACATACATACATACATAGATTTAGTTAACACATACATTTTAAAAAATAATAAGTATGCAGAATAAAATTTATTTAGACACCTTTTTTAAATAATTTCGTTGTTGCATTTTACTCTCTCTCTGCTCTTATATCTGACAAATAAAGCCCTGTGCCTGGTCACAGTGGTAGTCATTCATCAGGTAGTTAGTAAAGTAACTTCTCATCTCCAGGCAACTCTCTCCTCCTAAACCGTCAGGCTGGCCAACTGACCAGAACGGAAAACTGCTAGGGATGGGGTTACCTTTCACAGTTACATAATTCGACCCAGGTGTGTTAGTATAGCCGCCAATCCAAAAATGACTGCAGGTTCCTGAAACAAATTATTATTAAATAATATACTTTCTTTGGACTATGGCAGATTTTTTTTTTTCTTTCAGTATGGGTCACTCTTCCCATTAACTGTATGTGCATTAAATTAAGACAATAAACAAAGTAACATTGCTTCGTAAATTTTAAACTTAGAGAAGATACTTTGTAAAGACCCTTAATGTTTAACAAGCTCCAGCACTTAAACAATTGTCGGCAAATCGGAAGAAAACCACAAAACTCGGATATAAAAATGCATCCTTTTGAACGTTCCGGAACTTGCAATCGATCCCTGTCTTCAGATGTGCCAAGCACGTTCATTTCAGCCTTATCTTGAGATAACCTGGAAAAGCACTAAACCTCAGAATTTGCCTATCGTTAGGTATACGGTATGTATAAGTCGTGTTGTAATCAGAATGACAATATTGGGTAGAAACCGCAGTGTGCTCATATGTATGTTCATACGTAGGATTGGAATCATGAGTGTGTAAAACCATATGGATTTGTTTCCATTCTGGAAGATCTGCTGACTGAGCACCATTCTTTACCTTTCACCCGGAAAATCGTAACTATTTCTGACTAAAGACGTTCCATTTTGATTCAATGCATTTTATGCATTGTACTAAATTTGTATGCCCTCGTGTATGCTGTCCACTCTAAATCTCTCATGACAGTTTTATCAGCATTTTTATTTCTTTAATAGTATTTGCAATTCACAAACTACCTGAAGGTGATTGTATGCAGCGGATGCACAGTTAGATAACCTACTCGATACTAAACCTCTATATTTACAATTTAGGATGAGTTTACTAAAACTGTATGATTTTGCATTTGAAATATTTGTCGCTTCCTTTTGTCTGCTCATTTCAACAGACTGTAGCGGCCCTTTCAATTATAACCCAGTTTAAGATTATACTTTTCCAGACAAGACAAGTATTGCATTTACCTTCGCGTTGCTGTGCTTTTTCCCGGAAGTATTGGTAGTAACACTCAGAAGGAACCAACAGATCACCCCCATCCGCTTGGCAGACTGAGCGCGCAGCAGACCAAGATGAGCAGTTGTTGGATTCAAAGCGGTAACAGAACTTTCCACATTGGACGGATGAATACAGCTCATAGCCTTTGGGACAAGCTGAAGAGTACATTGTAATGGGTTATTGTTATAATTGCAATATTGATTTTAGACATAATGTATCAAGTTAGGATCCTATTATATTGTTCTTTTAACGACTAATACATTGATTTGATATGTCATGAGTGCTATTATACCCTGTTGCTACCTACTGCTCACATACTTTCCCACATTATTGTTCTGTGCAATGAAACTAATCATGCAATGTATGCTCAACATTACAACTATGCGTTAAAAATGAAATTTCTATACTGAGATGCTGTGGTATTAAATTTTAAAACTTTCTGAAATATGTAAGTCTCGACTTAAAACAGCAGAGATGTAGTATTGATAATGATGCTGTATGATGCTAATATCGTCCGTTTAGTAGCCATGTAGACGTGTAATTTAATAGTGAACCTGCTCTGTCGAAGCTTCCAGTCAATGCGATACTTATTGCACAGTTAAATATTCCTATAAATGGTTAATTTTGATAATACATATATTGTAAGACATAAATTTTTAAAAACATATTATATGCAAATTATAACATACAATTTATGTCTTGATTTAATTTTAGAACTTGGGTATACTTCATCAGGTACTAAAATTCTCAAAGATTAAAAGTATCAAGATATTGCTGAATCATGTATAATTATTAGAGAAAATATCTTACTGCATCCAAGACAGTATTTAATTTCCTCCAATGTTTTCACGATAGAATCGATGCCGGCCAGGACTTTCTGTTCAAAAGCCTTGCTATTGGTCAACACTGCGTTTAACGTCTTAATCACTTGACTTGATTTCGTTTTAAGTGTCATTAAATCGGTGGCCATCTTGCTCTGTCGTAGGTCCAGTAGATCTATCTTGACGTTTGTGGCATTAAATCCAGATGACATTATATTTGCAAATTCATCCAGTCTCCCCGGCAGTCCAGGTTCACCTATTTATATAATGTATGGAACTAACGTGTAAATAAATAATTACATGTCTCGTTTCTGCACGTATGAAATGTCCTGGGGCAGGGTTATTGAAATATACGTTAAATATGAACAGCAACTGGTCAATTATGTGCGATTTAGCAACCTACTCGTAACCAAGAGGCTTTAATGAGGCATGATACCTGTTGGTTGATATTGTGGTTTTTTTTGTTTTACAATACGATAATAATAGTTTCGTTTCCAAACAGCCAAATGACATTTACGAGTGCTAAATCAGGTATTAAACGTCATTCCTCTGTATTAGCTAAACTCAGAATATGCTCTAGAAAATTCCCATCTTCTTTTTCACATGGATCTTGGCATTACTCGACTATAAATGTCTTCTGAAGGATTTTTTCTTACCACACAGCCATTACAAGCCTCGTTGAAAACTAACTAAATAACTCGAAATGAGCAAGAAGAGAAGAGTGCAAATTTCCTTTTAGAATGTGCAATAATAGTCTTAACATCTTTACAGTCGACGGTCTTAAAGAGTTGCACATTAGTATTTGTCTACGGAATACCTTAGGTGATCCGTCTTTACAAGAAAAAGATTTGTTGCATGTTTGATGCTGGTAGCGTGGATAATTAAATTTTTCAAACATTTTTCTTCTTTCCATAATAAATTTAAAGTAACTTTAAAGTAACTTTCTATTCCCAAAAAACATGATGTATGCATCAATTTGTTAGAGCATAACTGTCATTGTTTTGTTAAATATAAAGAAAACATACACAAAGTAAATAATATGTATTTTATAAATTTGTCACTGCTAATGTTTGGTTAACCCGTAACAGCCCTCATGGATTTGTTACTTGCATTCAAAAGTTCTTTCAAATAATAATGCAATTTATAATTGGATGTTTTTATATATGTTACGTGAGTGTGTGTGTGTGTGTGTGTGTGTGTGTGTGTGTGTGTGTGATTTTTACATGTGCATTCCAGTTGATATTGAAACTCATTTTCAGATATATCAGCCATTCAGTTCCTGGTCATCTCCAGGAACAGACACGCTTACATAAACTTGAAAATGCACCTCGGTTTTTGAATGTGATGAAATCAACAGATAAGTCACAACCAATGAAATACTTTTGTATTTGCTATCTTAAATCCGGGTTCATAAAAAGAATGTTTCAGAAATAGCATGGCAAACTAAACATTATAGAATTGTCAACAAATAATTTATCAGGTTCTTGATTAATGTGTTTGCAAAGCCTTTAACATTACCTGTCCAAACGTGATCGGCGACACCAATGTCTACCCCTATTGTCAACATCAACCCGCACACCAGAACGCACATGTAGCTGCTACACAACATTTTCAGGCAATCGTACGTCGTTGTGTTTTCTTGTATACTCTGAAGTTTCCCTTATATTTGGTACAATTTACAGCTTTGTTCGTCAATGCGAAAGAAGCATCGATTGTGTGAAAAGATTTTGTCGATAGTAATCATAAAATTTATTGTTGTGCCTATTTGCCAAATCCAATTTTACACTCGATTTAATCACATTTTTATACTTATATTTTTGCAAACCCATGCGAATGGACATCTGTTACTGGAACGGTCTCATATGTAGCAATAAACTCAGTTCAGTGTGTTCCTTGTGGATTAAGATACCATATGTTTCACAAGATAGCCTATAAGAAAACCTATAATCTAAGAGATTAATATTTGTGTTATATTATTATGCCTAAAGTTATAACATATGGCTGCTTTGTTGTATTGCTTTGTTCCTTGATTTAGTATAGAGACTTTTACTTGTGTAACATAAAACCATCACTTAAGTAGCACAGAAACAATTAAATTGACTGAGAATATTTTAACTTGCAGTAACGAATTAGAATCCTGTAGAAGTATTAATTTTAATCAAGTCCAAGATTTCGTTTTTCTTAATATTTTATGAGCGTGCTTTGTTTCTATTCTTTCCTTTGACTGATATATAATGTTCCCTTACTAAACTTTTGCTTTCTAATTAACATTATGAAAATAATAATGTTACATTTATGAGACACCGCTCCGGTGGCCTAAGTGGTTAGAATGTCCGCCTCGGATCTGGAAGTTCGCGAGTTCGAACCCTGGCTAAGTGCTACCAAAGACTTTTAAAAATGGTACAGACAAATGCTTTACTTGACGCCTATCATTAAGAGGATCTGGTCGGCCTCGTGTCAGGATAATGTGAGACATGATGCTATATGTCTGCGACATGATGTTTCGGTGCTAGATCGCTATATACTGCCACACTTTAGACAAGGTAGAGATATGACTAGAAAATCGATGAATCGACTTTTGAAGAGGAAAAAAGTAACACACACATATATACGAGACATTAATTTTATGAATTGTATCAATTTAAGTCGTAGAAAGATTGGAATTGTGTTCGAAGTTTTCATCTTGTCAATCAATACCCATATATTCCGAAGCTACATTACCTCAGTTTTGTTGTACATACATTCAGCCTTACGATGTGAATAGAGATAAAATGATTATAGGTAATCACTTAAATAAAGTGTTGCTTGATGCAAATGATGCAAAATTGCGAAGAAAAGTTTTACTAAAATTGGTAAATATCAATGTGAAAAGTATGATTACACGTAATATAAAAACAAACCTTGAAATTTATCACCTGGAAATCTTATTACTTACAGTAGTCGTTATTCAGAGCATTACCGTTTGTTTACAGTAATTTTAAATTTAACTGACTGTGAACAATAACTTATCTCTGTCCATTGAAGAGTATTGGAGTTTTCCTTTAGCATACAACGTCTGTGTTCAGGTCTTGTAGGACAAGCGTTTGTAAAAATCAGTGTCAAACATGGATGAACACTATGAAGCTTCCGGGAGATTTCTTTAGATTATTGTTGTTGTTGTTGTTATTATTGTTGTTGTTGTTGTTAAATAGTTTAACATTTTCAACACAATATAGGCTATACATGGCAGCCAGTATTAATGGTGGAGGGTTTGGTTTTTGGATTTATTCAACGTAGCTTTAACAATTTTTCAGTCAAGTCACTACGATGTCTGCAGTGTGGCAGTTTATAGTGATATCTAGCACTGGGGCATCATGCCGCAGACATGTGACATGATGTCCCACCAAGTCACATTATTTTGACACAAGGCCGACAGTCCTAACACTAACCTCTTAAAAATGAGTATCAAACCAGGCAGCTGTTAGTACCATTTTTGTAAGTATTTGGTATGACTTGACCAAAAATCGAACCCACGACCTCCCGCATCAAAGGCGGATGCTCTAACCACTAGGCCATCGGAGCGGTTGGTGGAGGATGAACCTGAGAAAACCACCGACCCACAAGAAGCTACCGGCAATCTTTCTCACAATTTTCCTAGTTCTTAATATTAACATTCGTCTTTTTATAATTTCCTTAAACTCAATTTAATTTAACTTCTTGTGCTCGGATTCAATGTAGTTAAATATAAATTTATTTTATTTAATTTGATTATATTTTTAAATATGTTCGATATAATCTTTTTCAACCTATTTTCAATTTTATTTTATTAACAATCAATGTATGCCATAGCAAACAATATATACCTTAACAATCATGTACCTGAACAATAAGTATGTACTTATCACACAGTAAATACCTTAACAGCAATATTTACCATACCAATCATTGCGCAAATCTGATTCACTTCAGTTTTCTCAATCTTAATATATTAATGACACTTTTAAGCCACCCTAAAACTTACTGAAAATAAGCTTGGTTTAAAAATTATATTGCCTTAATTTTAAAAAATAAAACAGTGATGATTTTTTGTTTAAAAATATCGCTAGAGCTATTAATATTCCAATCTGTGAAGATTAATAATCAATATTAAATCAACCGTATAACAAAATCTGTTTTTATTATGATTTGATATTAATATTCGCAGATGTTCAGGCATACAAAATATGGCCTTGACCAGGTCACATCGAATATAAATAATTGTGACCCGAAAATGAATCGCAATTGCGAAACGATTGAATAAGTAAAAATTATATATTTACTTCAGCTGGAAGAATCGATATCAAAATTTTATTTAAACATTTCCCAAGCTACAAAACACGCCGCATTTACACATGAAATAAGTATTACTTAAAGATGAGATAACAACTTTTGCATTTAATTATTGAATTATAATTCCTTTAGTGTTTGGAGAATTTATTTTGTTTCAACTAATTTATTGCAACTTGTAGAAACAGCAAGCACAATGGTTTTATGATTTACTTGTTTGTCTTTTTATGTTTTGTGTTTGCCTTTGAATAAAGACTCATTAAGAATTGAAAGCGTTCAGGCTAGTTAGTGTTCGTTGTCTTTATATATATATATATATATATATATATATATATATATATATATATATATATATATATATATATATATATATATATATATATATATGTAATAAACTGACGACGAACAGTGCGAAACTAGTAACTTACTAGTTATATATATATATATATATATATATATATATATATATATATATATATATATATATATATATATATATATATATATATATATATATATATATATATGCAATAAACTGACGACGAACAGTGCGAAACTAGTAACTTACTAGCCTGAGCGCTTTAGACTCTTAATGAGTCTTTTTCAATGGCAAATACAAAACATATATAAGATAAATAAATAAACACAAGTGCATAGTTTTCTTTTTCTAGTCTTCCTGGTTTTGAAACCAATCGGTCTAAACCAAGAAGGCTAGAAAAAGAAAACTATGCACTAGTAGAATTTAACTTTTTCTAAATCTTCTTAGTATCCTTCAATTTTACTATAAGAATAACCGGTATAAAATCAAATATCCGGGATATAATCTGTACAAAAAAGTAAAAATAGATGACATATTTCTTCAAGATATCCAGGCCCAATGGTATTTTGGCTTACACTTCCCCAAACAATTCTCAACTGCCCCCAACATTGTTATAACAGAAGTCCTATTTCATATTCCCAGAGCCACAGTGAAATGTTTTGTGGAAAATATTGACGTACAAAATGATAATAGATTGGTTTCCTTTCAAGATAACTTCAGTAGGTCTGGTTTATGTGTCAACTTTTACCTTTTGCTAAATGTAATGATATATGTTAGCACGCTGCGTAAAAGCCTATGTTTCTCCTATCAAAACAAAAGCAATGTCTACATACCATGAAAAGCAATAAATAATAAATATGGAGGTTTTTGAGAGGACAGAGCAAAACAGTAATCATTGCAGACATGAATATGCACAAAGTAAATTAGATTTTATTAACGCAGGTTAAAGCTATCAATCAGACATTGATAAAATTTAGACTGTTTCTCGATAAGGTTATAAAAAACATTCATACGAAATTTAGACTCTTTTGGATTATTTATATATAAGACATTCATAAAAAATAGACTGTTTCTAGATAGTGCTATCAAGGACATTCATACTAATGTTCCTGAACAGTATTGTCAAATAAATTCAAAAGCAATTTATAATGTTGCTGGATAAGGTTATATCAAAGATATTCCGGACGAATTCAAGTGTTTAACGTGTTTGTGTAAGCTCTGCGATTTGGTCAAAACGGGGAAAGGTATCAAATTATGGCGAGCAGGAATCGACCCTTGTGTGATTTATTCAAAGGTAAAAGTTAGGTAAATGACGCTAGTCTAACTTTATGAATTATTTTGGCGCTGAGTGGTTTGCTTATTGTTTCAATGTCAGCTGAGGTCAATCCAGAGCCAGGAAAGGGGAATCTAAAGATGAAATCTACCTTCTCTGTGACCGAATATGGACAAGTTCGTGTGACCCGTTCATCCCCTAATCCACAAAAAAAGAAGTTGATATTGGCAAAGTCGTAAATGAAAAGCATCAGGAATTTAAATTTCTGAATTTTATTTAGAACTTAGTGCGAAAATGCCGACTGTAGCAAGTGAAAATCGAGTTGATAACCTTGAGCTTCGAAACAATATTTCGGCTGATAAAATTGTTAGTCTTGAGAATAGATTGCTTAATTTAGAATCATTTAAGCAGAAGTTATTTATTGTTAACTGGAAATGAAGGTAGCCGTCGCGAAAGTGGAATTTGGGAGGTGTAACCTTTTTTTGTGCCGAAATCTGTCGTATTGAAAGATTGTGTAAACAGAGTATTTGATACATTTAAGGACTGAAGTTCCTCTATTCAAGTCATCAGCTTTTGCATACCGTTATAGATATAATAATGGTATTTATGTAAATTTCCCCCAAATATTCTCCAATATATAACAATAGTAACGAAACTGGAATTGAATTACTAAAGGAGAAGTTATTTTTTATCTAAAAGTCAATATCGAAATTGTTACTTTTCTTATAAGGACATTTTAATAATAAAATTAAAAATTTGAAGATTTTATCCGTGATGACACCCTTGATTTGTGTATGGATGCAATGTTGATTATGATGTAAATAATGTATCCATGCAGAGGCATTCATAAGACTATCGATTGTATAACAATTATTTTCTTATCCTTAACAGATTTATGCATAAATTGTATTATTAATTTTATGAATGGAATACTCTTTGATGGTAAACATTATCCTTTCACATGCATACTCATAATGGTTGCAGTGTAGTTGATTACATATGTTCTTCTAAACACACCTATATCACCAGCTTTGGAGTAGGGACTCGAGATGAATTTTTACATTTTCCAATATATTGTTCAATTAGGCTAATTCAGCATGTGAGAAATGATATGATATTTCCCAAAAAGCGAATGTTAATTATCATCAAACTTATTGTGTTGAAAGAAAATTAATATTGATAGTTGTATCCTTACTAAATGGGAATATTTTCATCTTCTTGTAGATAATATACAATTATTTGTACGAATGTTTAACAGAGCCTTTGAAGATATAAGGAATGATCTATTCAGATATCTTGAAACTGATATTAAATTCTCTCTTAGAATATTATTTCAGTTGTATCAGAATATAGGTGCATATTTTGAGACTAGATGTACGGAGTCGAAATGATAACAAAACAACCACCTTGGTGGGATAAAGATTGCGATAAAACAAAATCTAGTAGAAACTACTGGTTATGAAGCTTTCGATTCTAAAATACTTAAGCAGACCTTAAGCTATATAGACAACATAAATCAGCTTATAAATCAATAATCGCACTCAAAGATACCCTAGAGATTTTCAGAGGAATAAATTAACCCAAGTGAAGAGAAACAATTGACAATTTTGGCATATTTTAAAATTTTTAAAATATTTTATTCTCGACATGCATTGGAATGTATCTCCCCCAAGAATGGTATGAATACTTTAATTTTTTATTGAAGAAGACTGTATCGGAGTTGGATGATTCATTGAAGAACTACCTCATTTACAGTTTGTTGACTTAAATAGTCCTATTACAAGTCATGAAATTATTATTAAAATTAAAACCAAAATCTATGGACATGATATACTCGTGGGCGGAATGTATTGGTCTGAGAGAAGAAGTACAAGCAGGATTTAGGAAAAAGTACTCAGCATGATACAGACAATATCTTTATTATTCGGGATATATATATATATATATATATATATATATATATATATATATATATATATATATATATATATATATATATATATATATATGAAGATATATTTTATCTCCTTTTTGCCGATTTTAGCGTAAGAAGTTAATGTTATAAGTGTTGGCATGATATCCTAGTTCCGGAAACCCAGCAAGCACATTCTTGTAAATCTGCTTAATTTAGATTTACTCAAGTTTCTATGTCTTTAATTTATTCAAACCGGATGCAAGCCAGATAAGAACTCAAATATAATCTGTGATCTCCACATCACAAATTGCGGGTAGTTCAGTATATTTAATATGTTGCCAAAGAGATTGTCACAAGCTTTTCCGGTAAGAAGTTTGAAACTACATAAAAATTATTTGAATAATATGCTTATCTTGGGTCTAGAACTAATGTCTACTTCCGAGTAATGGGGTGGGGTCATTCATGATACGTGATAAGTTCTTTCCTGTTTTTCAGACTGTGTTGATATGGAATTTTAAAACGCTAGGAGGTTCTGGAAATGTCTACATCAGACTCATACACTTATTACTTGGAGCTTTGTATCACACACACACACACACACACACACACACACACACACACACACACCGAGTAAAATTATTTGTAAAAAAATTTTAAGTGTTTTTTTGTAGCATTCTATCCTATAAAAATAAACCATTAGGTTTATTAGAACTTCCACGGTACTGCTGCTTTAAGATAGCACGACCT